TTCTCACTTTTTTAAACAATACACAGAAATCTTGGCCAAAAATAAGACAGTTGTGAGTAACTGTGAACGACATCTATCCTGAGCTTTTGAATTGAATCAACTTCTACAAGACAACATTAAAAAAATAACATAATTGAATGCATCTGACAGCTGTGACAACTAAATCTAAATAAATACAAAAAAAGGGACGAGCACAAACAGTGATTCCAATTATAGAAAAAGCGTAGTGATAATCAAAGAGATACATTTAAAAAAAATGGGAGCTTCTTATGAGAGCATTAAGATGTTCAACTACAGACAGTCTATAAGCCTTAGTGTCATCGCTGGAGTACCGAGTTTCACTGCAGAGCTCGTTTATTGTCTCGCATTTCAGTCATCTTCAGTAAGCTTTTGCAGTGTGGTAATGTTTCAGAACTATTTAGAAATGCAGATAAAAATAGGTCCCTAAATCAAAGCTCTCAGGGCTAGAGGTTTTAAATGATTTGTCATAGTATACATTTATAATTCACGCACCATGCAATTTCTTCTTTCTCTTTTACATATAATACAGGAGCATTAATAGTGTGTTGATTGATGTAGTCATGTCAGTGTCCACTAGGGTAAAAGCATGGCTTGAGGAAGTGTAGTAATCCAAGTAAAAATATATTTGAGAGTGTGACCACGTGTGATCTCTACATCGTATTTTTATGCTTAGTTATGGTAGAATGACGTTGGTTAATCATGTCCAATGAATCACGGCAGACAGAATTCACATCTTTGTTAAAAAGTGACACTGTACAATAGCTTCCATGGCAACAAGGTTAAACCACAGTGAGACCCCCTTCTTCTGGCTCCGCCACCGCCCACCCCCCATCCCGCCCATATATATTACAGAAGTTCATTCCAAACAGGATGGCAAATCTTCAGAAATCAAAAGACAAAGATCACGTTTTAAAGTGGAGAAACAAAAAGACAAAAAGTGGATGAGGGGCAGGTTTTAAATCATTGTACAAAAGAACAAACAGCAACCCACCACAACCAAACACGTATTCTTGAAAAATCCATTGGAAATTGATTTCTTTTTACAGGTTGCACAGTTCATTTTTAAAATACTGGGGGAGATACTCCAGTATGTTGAGGGGCAGGGAACAATGGCAAGAAAGATGGAGGACAGGACCTCACTCCTCCTCTGTGCATCCGAGTATTTCTACACGCAAAGTGATCCTGCCGTACCATGACCAAGGAAGGATCCGGATGAGCCGAGCGTAGATGGGCGGGTCTATCACGTTCTTTCTGTGCGTGTCATTGTCAAAGTTCCCCTGGAATACCTGTGAAAACACAAACAGAGGACGTGTTTTGTCTGGATTTTCTTCACAAAAACAAACCCCCTCGAAAAAAAACATTAATTAAAAAATGTAATTTTAACACTGCTGTAAACGTCAATGGATTTTAAGACTCTAAAAAGGTTAACCAAATGATTAAGGAGTCAGCAAGTGGTGAAAAAATAAACAAAAAAACACCAAAAGGCAGGTGCAGAACATTTGGGAGGCTTTTATTACCTGATTTCTCCAGACTCTTGTTACCTTGAAGGCCTGAACAGGTAATGAAATGCAGCTAATCAGAGCCTCTATTCAAACACCGCCTGTACAATCTGAAGGGTACCATTTCTGAACTCAGCCTTATTATTCTCGCTTCTGTTCATTTATGCATCACACATGTGAGCACATTCCCACTGCAGAAAATGTCTGCATTGTTAAAGCGGCACAGCTGTAAGTTCCACCTCCACAATTAGGGACAGAAATCTAACGCAGATTTCTCTTATCTCACTGAGTGCCATTATTAACATGCACCCTATGCCTGTTGGTCCTATTTTTGTTCACTTCTGTCATTGTAGAATTTTTCACAGAGGCAATAAATAAAGAGCGCTAGCAGAGGGCAGGAATGCTGCTCGAAAAGAAAAAAGCCTGTTCCTCGGTTTTAGCTACAAAATCTCATGAAATATTGTGTTACAGACAAAAGGCTTATTTATGCTTAACTTTAGTTATGAATACAAAAGTAGACGGAGCCTTCTGTCCACACTCTGCGTTCAATTTGTCTTCATTTGTGCGCATCTTTTGAAAAACTTAAAGAAACCGACGAAATGGAGCAGTACCACCAGAAATCAAGGGGGGCAGTGCAGCCAATAGTTTCAATGAGACGACCATAAAACACGAGGAAAAAAAATCAACAATTGCAGAACTTTTTGTCGAGAAACTACGTGAGTTACTAAGTTGGATCCAAGTCATTTACCACCTCTTATGCCTCTTACTTAGGAGGTGCATAGTCACCTCCTCCTCCACCGTTGCCATTTTTTTTACCGTTTTCAAAAGCTCTCGACTCTCCGCTGCCCTCAGGTGGATGTATTGCTTAACAACGTAAAGGACACATGGAAATATGTGGGCAGTGACGGTAACACTGAAACAGACACATACATGAACTTCAACCTGTGTTTTACATTGTTACCCACTGACATATCCTACTATGAAAGCACTGGAAATTGTATTATATTTACTTTATGCAGCAAATTAAAGATGTCAAGAGACATTTTAATGTATGAACCACTTTCATATGAATCCAGTGGCCTTTCAGAGTCTTTAACTGGGCCCTGAAACACTGGTTCAAGGATTAACAAGCTGACACAGACAAACAAACATAATTGTTATGCTGGGACACATGCTCTGTTGTTGATTATTAGAAGCTTTGGTGTGAGCTTAATAGACAGTAGAATGAAGTATATTAGGAAGAAATGTATCTACTGGGACTGCTTCATTGAAGGATATGGTCATTTAATTTAAACGGACATGATTATGTCTGTGTAATTGGGATGTAATGGGATTCACTGTTGTGTGGAATGGAAAATCAGCATGCTTAATCCAAGCAGGTGCTGGAGATGGGGGTTGACCTTTTTTTAGAGCACAGCTCTGACAATAGTTTAATTTCAAATAATCAAAGTGTTGGTTCTGGATTGAGACATTCAAAGCATGATCTCAAAGGTTGTACTATAACACATGTCACAAAAAAGGCTGTAAACCATTGAGGTGTACTGAAGAAAAATAGTTTGGACTTTTGGTGGTTGGACATGTTCATCCTTGTGTCCTAAAACAGAAGGATGAACATATTGAAGTTGAAAGTAACACATCCTCTGTTAGGCGATGAACAGAAATATAAACTTATATTAAATTTGACAAAAGGAATTGGTCAAATTAAATGTGTCAGTGCTTCATTAACAAACACTAGCGATACAACGGGAATCCTTTCATTTCATTCACTAGAGACTGGTGCTGCTCATCATAACTTATGACTCTAAAAGGTGCAGTTTAGTGCAGTGCAGTTAAAAAAGGTTATGTAATCTTCTTTACAAATGACAATCTGGCAACAATGTGCCTTTTGTCTACTCATGAAAGAAGCATGGTCTTGTTTTTTTACTCCACTTATTTAGATGAAATTACTTCAAACTAAATGGATGAAAAGCTGAGCGATGAATGAAACGAAAACACTTTTGATAAACTTGTCTACTCTTGTTTTTTGAGACTGCACTCAATTGGCTATATAAACAGGATTTTAAGCAGTAATATAGATCAGTTTGTACAACTAATACTCATCCCGTGTTCTGCATTTTAAGGGACATGCAACCGTTCACTCTGCAGTTGAGAAAATCGTTACAATACTGCAGTTATTTTTAATATATAATGGAAGCGTGCATTCTCAATCACCATCATGATAACCACTAAATGAAATAAAAATATGATTGAGTTACGTACATGATGGTGAAAATAAATAATAAAATAGGAAAACTAAGCTTAATTATTCTACAAAAAAGTAACTCAGTTAACTTAAAGAAGAAAATATGAAACAATCATGCAATTATTTTTCCTTTCCTTTTTTTCTGTTGTTGCAACCATGGAGAACTGGAGTAATTTTTAGGCTGTTTGTAGTTATTCACATGTTCATATATAATAGCTTCTGTGGGGGATATATAAAATGTTTGTGCTTATAAAAACCTGAAATGTTATAATTGCTAATTCCATTTTATTTTTAACCCAATGCTGCTTTCTTGATTCTGTTTTTTAAATAACATATACCTAACTGAAACATATAAATGTACACATCTATACAAGATGAGAGCACTGTTTATATATTATGATTATATAGAAGCTGTAGCATGAAAGAAATAGTAGTGATACGGTTGTGAGACATTTCCTATCTAGTGGCAGCTGGACTCATAAGATGTAATTGTCCCAGATCAATATACAGTAACAAGATATCAAACCTCTGCTTCCTCCTCCCAGCACATGTGTAAGTTTTCATTAGTACAACTACTTTCATGTGATTTTTCTTCATTCAGCACGTTTTTAGTCCTTACTGAGGACTAACATTAAAATCATGTGAAAGGTGACTACTTTCATTACTTCTGATGTCTACCACAAACTAAAGCAGGCCATCTTTACGCGCTGCATTCGTTATCATCTCGTTCTCCCTGAAACCTATTCTGTCCCGTTTTTTTCTTCTTCTTTCTTTAGACTGTAGTCAAACAAAGATTACACTGGCAGGTCATCTCTCCCTCTACATATCCTCGCAACCTGCATGTTTTAAAAATACATTTCCTCATAAAAGGACTTAGTGGTGGAGAAATATCTATCCATCCATTAATCTTCTACCACTAATGTGGTTATGAATCAAAGTGGCAGAAGGTCAATCAAAGTAATACAGACGTCCCTCTTCCCAGCAAAGTTTCCTTGGGGCAGAAGAGTAGAATCCACCATTTTTAGGCAGAGAATCATGACCTCACACTCTAAAAGGTGAAGCTTCATCACCGCCTCGAACATCTCCACTGCATACTTAAGATCACGAGATAGATGGACCGAATTTGGTGACAATGATCAACCTTGGCAGAGCCTGGAATGTCTGATTATTTGACGTGAATACAACAGAATAAAAGAGTCTGACCCCTCAAGTAACCTTACAAGAGTACCAAGGCTACTTTTTATTTTTGGTACATTGGCAAATTTTGAAACCACCATGCTTGTTTGCCAGTCCACAGGCCCTAACCTCCATGTGACATTGAAGAAGTGTTCTAACCAAGACAGCCCAGATAATTCCAGAGCCTGCAGCATGTCAGGGTGGATCTCATCTGCTCCTGGTGCCTTGCCACTGAGCAACTTCTGAAATTCCTCAGTGACCTCTGCCGGGGACATAGGTAAGGCTTTTCCACGCTCTCCTACGTCCTCAAACGACATGTTACTTGGTTTCTGGAGTTCCATAAAGTGTTTGTTCCACTGACTGATGATATCCCTTATCTGAGACAGCTGTTTTTCCTGCCCAGCTGAAAACAGCCCGGGCTCAGCCTGCTTTCTCCTCCTATGCCAGAACTTTGGGCTCGACCAACATTCCCTCTAGATGAACTCTCCATTCCTGTTCTACGTTTTAAAACCCAGCAAAAAGCATATAATTCAAAAACGTATATGTAAGTACTAAACCATTTTGTGTTCACTACATTAGTCCTTCTAGCACATGCTAGAGTAGGACAATAAACATTTGACATTGGAAAGAGAGATATGTGTCACAACTAGGTGTGTTGCCAAAACTCTAATGTGACAACCAGGGTGCATGACAGTCAAATGTAAAGTGCTGAAGAGGAAGACCATAAAAACAGTGGCTGATTGAAATAACAATCTCTCCTTGACTGTCTGAGGATGTGCACGAGGCAATGTCTCTGAAACAAACTGTCTGGAACCGAATGTTTAAAGATTCTCCATAAAAAGGCCAAATAATGCGAACAAGAGAAAAAAGAAAAGGGATTAGCATCATCAGTATCCATAATAACATATAATCTGCAAATAACTGTCAGTGAATCAAAATTATTTTATTTTAGGAATTTAATGGATGCCAACAACTGCCTTGCACTTACCAGTTAAAGTCACATTTCTTGTTAGTTATTACCAAGAGTAAAAGAAAAGATAATAATACAGCATTTTATTTGCAAGTGATCCATTGCCTTACTGAATCATGTTTGCAAATTCCAACAAAATCCATTTGATTCAATATTTTGCATGAATGTTTCAAATTTTTGTATTGTGGCCTCTAACCCAAATCTTCTTGGCTTATTTTGGTTTTGTTTCTACACCTTACAACACCTCTCGCCACAAGGTTCACACACATCCACATTTACACCACTGATGGTACTGACTTACACACCTCACAATCCAAGTACAAATACTTTGCTGGCATTGCTGGCATGTGTGTTCCATTTTGTCATGGCCCACAGGCTGGGTTATGATACCATCCAGTC